GATTGGAGCTGGGTGGGTACAGTGTTCCATAATGGGGTGTCTGCCCAGGGGCTGCCCACCTGAGAACTGCATTGAGCAGGCTTGAGAAGACAGCCCTGGCTGATGTAGAGGCTTCAGGGTGGGTGGCTGTGTGGGCAGAACCATACTCAAGGAGCTGAATGGGTATGGAGGCCGCCATTGGTCGGTGGGCAGTTTGCAGGTATCCAGGGGGCATCCTGAATGATAGAGGACAAGGTGGGTGACATTGTTGGTGACAACTGTTTGGGCAGCTACTGTTGGGACCTTCTGGTGTCAGCTGGGCCCATGGGCAAACTCAGGGGGCTGAGGGGCACACGGTGGTGGGAGGGGGAGATGCCAGGGGTAGAAGCTGGGTAAGGGGGGCACCCAGCACAGGAAAGGAAGTGAGGAGGAGGAATTGGAGAAGGAGACAGCTGAGGCACTGAGTGAGGGGTGGCCCAGGGAGAAGGCAGACACTGAGGGGTGGCTGTCGGAGGCCTGGACCTGGGGCTAGAGACTGCTCAGAGAAGCCTGGAGGTTTGGGATTGCTCAGGGAGGACTGCAGGATGGGTAGCCGAACAGGGAATAAAGTCCTGGCTCATCATATCCTGAGCCCGGGCCCGGGCCCCGCGGACACCAAGTTGAATCATGGTAGGGTCAGATTGGAGGTACTCTTGCCCCCACTCAGGCTGGGGTAGACTGTCTCCTCAGGGTCCAAGGGGTGGGTAGTGGCAGGGGAAAGTTCAGGTTGGTGAGACCAGGTAGTGAGCCTCCTGTATTCATGGCAGATGGGAGGACATGCACACTGACAGGCTGGTTAGGAGATTTAAAGAAGTTAATTCCAGGGAGGTCCCAGGACCGAAGTCGGGAGGAGGATGAGGACAGCTCCCTAGATTTCTGTGCTCCATCACATGATCTATCCTGGAGAATGTTCCATGTGCATGTGAGAAGACTATGTATTCCTCTGCTGTTGGATGGAATGTTCTGTAAATGTCTGTCATTTGTTCTAAAGTGTGGTTTCATTCCAATGTTTCCTTGCTGATTTCATGTGTGGACGATCCATCCATTGTTGACAGTGGGATACTGAGGTCCCCTAGTATCCCTGGATTGTTGTCTATTTCTCCCTTAAGATCTGTATTTGTTTAATGTATTTCAATACTCAGGTGTTGGGAGCATATGTATTTACAACTGTTACATCTTCTTAGTGAATTGATCTGGTTATTAGTATACAATGGCTTTCTTTGTATTTTGTCATTATTTTTGGCTTGACGTCTATCTTGTCTGATATAAGTATGGCTACACCTGGTCTCTTTTTGGTACCATTAGCTTGGGTTATCATCATCCATCCCTGCACTGTAAACCTACATGTCCAGTGCTCCCTCCTTAATACCCATCACTGGGCTAACCCATCCCCCCTCCCCCCTAAAACCCTCAGTTTGTTTCTCAGAGTCCATAGTCTCTCATGGTTCATCTCTCCCTCCGATTTCCCCTCCTTCATTTTTCCCTTCCTTCTTACACTATTGGTGGGAATGCAAGTTGGTACAACCACTTTGGAAAACAGTGTGGAGGTGCCTCAAAAAATTAAAACTAGAGCTACCCTATGACCCAGCAATTGCACTCCTGGGTATTTACCCCAAAGACACAGATGTAGTGAAAAGAAGGGCCATATGCACCCCAATGTTCATAGCAGCAATATCTGCAATAGCCAAACTGTGGAAAGAGCCAAGATGCCCTTCAACAGATGAATGGATAAAGAAGATGTGGTCCATATACACAATGGAATATTACTCAGCCATCAGAAAGGATGAATACCCAACTTTTACATCAACGTGGATGGGACTGGAGGAGATTATGCTAAGTGAAATAAGTCAAGCAGAGAAAGTCAATTATCATATGGTTTCACTTATTTGTAGAACATAAGGAATAGCCTGGAGGACATTAGGAGAAGGCAGATAACATTTTTTTAATAACAAATCTGTCCCCTTCTCCTTCTCTTCTCCTTCTGGTATACCCATTATTCTTGATTGGCTTTCCTAATGGAGACTGGTAGCTTTTGCAGGATTTCTTCATTTTTTAAGCTTGTTTTTTCTTTTAAGTAATCTCTACACCCAAAGTGTGGCTTGAGGTCACAACCCAGAGATCAAGAGTCAGATGCTCCACTGATGGAAGCAGCCAGGCGCCCCAGGGTTTCTTCACTTAAAAAAAAAAAAAAAGTCGTAGTTCTCTCCACTTCCACTTGAATCATTTCTAGATTCCATCTTTCTAATCGTGTGTTCTCCCTTCCACCTGATCTGCTCTATTTCCGATATTTCTAATGCATTCTTCATCTCATTTAGTGAGATCTCCAGCTCCAGAATTCCTGTTTGGTTCTTTTTTAAAATTTCAGTCTCTTTGGTAAAATACTCCTTCTGTCCATTCATTTTATTTCTGAGTTCACGGAATTGCCTAACACTCCACAGGTGGGCACTTAGAGGCCCTTCTTTAGTATTCCAGCAGGTGGCAGAATAGCACAAGTTTTTGGCTTCTCTTACCAGAGTAGCCTTGGTAGCTATTTAGACCAGGTTCAAAAACAACAAAAAAGTGGAAGGCTGGCAACGGAGTAGGGGCAGTATGTACTAGGCCCTTGGGCTTTGGGTGTGCCCCACACTCCAGGAGGAGGATCCTCAAGTTCGGGAGTCCCAGTGGTGCTGGGTGTTCTCTTGCTGAACTCTCAGGGCAGACAGTGCATAAAGGGTTTCTTCTTGTGTGCCTCTTTCCCTTGCCTTTTCCCTTCCCCCCTCCACCCCACAAAGTCACAGATGCCCTGCCTCAGAGGACCCTGCTCTGTGGCTTCAGAGCTATAGGGTCCTCCAGGTGCAGCCCACAGGGCCAGGTAGCCTTTCACTCACCCCTCTCGACCCCCACCCTCTCTTCCAGAGGAGTCACGGGCAGGTGTTGCCACCACTGTAGAAACCAGGGTAACAGGCCCCACCACTGCTGCCTGGGCTCTGGTCTCCATGAGGCCCAATCCACACACTCTCAGTTAGAAACATGGATGGATCTCTTTGGCGTCTGGCGTGCTCTGTAGCAGAAACTCTATTGGATTTTGGAATCCTAGTAGTTGTCAATGGAAGGGGAAGACAAATGGAAGGGTTCATTCTTGCCATGATGGTGACCTCACTCCTCCCATGGGCCCCTCCACACGGGCAACTGGCCCACGTGTTTCAAAAGATTCCTCTTATTTGTGTGGATAATTCATACCACATCCATACCTTCCTTTCCTGTCCATTTCAAAGGAAATATGCCCATAGCCCATCCAAAAGTAATCCAGCGTCACAAAGCCACAAGCCATATGGAGGGAGGAGATGAACATGTCAGATAATAGATTAACATACAGAGTATTTAAAATATTTACAAAGACACAAAGAGTATATTTATGGCTTTCTTGTTAGGGTGAACATTTTAATAAATTTGAAAATTCCTCCACTATCCTTCCCCACATACTGTGAGCAGTGCAGAGCCCTCCTCCAAGATACACTTCAGTTTAGATGTTCATATCAGTCAGTGTCCAGTCAGGAGGCAGAAACCACATCAGTCATTTTAACAGGGGAAATGTGATATAAAGAATTATTAAGCAAAAGGTGTTTAACTATGAAAGAGGTAAAAGAAAGCTCTGAGGAAACCAGAAGGAGTCACAGGAAGCAGACGCTACCCCCAGGGCTGGGGTAGAGCACCCAAAGGAAGACATCTGAGAGAATAAGACTGACATTCTGTTTGTTGGAGAAGGTGGGACCAGGGTCCCCAGGTAGGAAAGAAATTCACCCACAGGCCACAGGCCAAGCCTGCTGAGCAGGAAAACTCCCAAGATTCCCTGGGAAGCAGCCCTCTAGATCACGGCCCTATTGCAATGCCGTACTCATTCACCCAAAGGTGAGAGAAACTAGGCCTTCTCCAGGCCACTGGCAGTCACATCATAGGATCACGGGGAAAAAACACCAAAAGTGGGGCACCTGGGTGGCTAAATCGGTTAAGCATCTGCCTTTGGCTCAGGTCATGGTCCCAGGGTCCTGGGATAGAGTCCCTCATTGGGCTCCTTGCTCAGAGGCAAGCCTGCTTTTCCCTCTGCCTGCCGCTCCCTGTGCTTGTGCACACCGACAAATAAATAAATAAAATATTGTTTTAAAAAACACCAAAAGAAGAAGAAAGCCTTTTCCCCTGCTACATCTTGCTGTGTTCCCTGTGGTGCACTATAGGAATTCACAGTGCCTGGATAGACAAAATCTGACTTGTATATGCCTCCCTGGATGAGACTAATTGAAAAACAAAAGAGGAGTGCCCCGAACGCTGGGCCTCCTTTGAAGTTCCTGGGCTGAAAGCTGCCAGATTCTTACTGTGGCTCAAGGTTCTCATCTAGGGAGTAATGTTTAAATTTTGAAGAAAGGCACCTGTGGTGGTCATGTACTTCACGAACTCCCTGCCTCCTCGCCCTTATCACACACCGCTCCATATACTATTATCCTGATCATTAAGGTTACACTTTCCTTGTTTTGCCCTTGCACGTGGTGTATTGATAAGACCCCAATAAAAATGGAGACGAAGCTTGGCTTGAGGCCTTTCACCACGAGAGCTTCTGGTCCCCGGGCATCTCCTTTTTCCTACGAAGGTGTCTGGAGTAATCTTTCCATTCACCATCTCAGGGTTTGCGGGCCAACCCCGACAGTGCACTGACTGACAAAGGCTAACAAGAGAGCCACATGGCAAAAATGAAACATTTATGACATCCAGCTCCAGTATCAACAAGTAGGGCAAATGCAGGGTAGATTGAATCAAAGGGCAATGAACTGAAAATGAGCACAGTCCACATCTTTAGATCTTCAGCTTCCACATAACACCATTTACTCACATTGGAACTTCCATATAACAACACAACAACTCCACATTTTTACTCATCTACAGAGCTACACTTACAAGTGAAAAAGTTCTCACTCTTTCCCCAAAATGGAAGAGACAGGCAGTCCCAGGCATTGAATCGACCAGTTATATTATTTATTCCTTAAGTCCAGCCACAATCATTGGACCACTCTCTTACTTAGAGACTATATTTTAAATATCACCACTGACAACTTGAATAAAATCACACTAGTAAGAAGAAGGGAGAAAGAAAATAGATAATTAATACAAATGACACATCTACGTGACAAGAAAGAGAAAATATGCAAAGCTACTACAGTCCTTTTCCCTTTTTTGGTCACAGGCAGGAACTGAGATTTGTGACTTCCTTCTTCCACTTCCAACTCTGTGTCTTATCTCTCCCAGAATCACAGCAGGTTGGAGTTCTCTACCTCAGGAGTGAACACACCTTCATTCCTGAAGGTCTGAGTCCTCAATAGTCTGGCTTCCTTTTGTTTCCTGTGGTTTCTAACCACCTTTACAATTGGACTTGGAAATACTGAGAAGCAATACATAGATCCTGGAACTGTACTCATGATGAAAGCTTTCTGAAATTAACCCAGGGTCTGAAAATGCTCTTTTTCATTCACATCTTTATTCTGGGAGCAGTTCTGTTCTCTCCAACTGTGTTGACACACAGGGGAACCCAAATTCTCATCCTCCAGTCACTGAATTAGTGCACCGCTAGTATTTCACAAATAACAGATATTTACTAAGGTTTGGTAAGATAAGTATGTTTTGTCCATCCCAGAATAGGAAGCATATACAAAAGAATACTACACTACACTCCTCTTAAAGTCCATTAGCCATCCATGTATTCAGAAATTTTTGGATGGCCGAAGTCTCTAGTCAGAGTGCACACTTCCCAAAACTTCCCAAAATAGAGCTGGTGACCCACCCATAGCCTCTGGGTTCGTCTGCACAATTTAAAATTCTGCATAAAATAAACACCATTTCATTCTTCAGAGTAATTCAGACTTCATCTCATTTCATATCAAAACGATACAAAGACTCCATGATTTTCATGACCAAAAGAAACATAACTTCCAAAAGCAAAATTCAGCCTATCCCATATCAGCTCAGTCAACATTTATCTTCTAATACCTGATCATAAGGCATGAACTGACTATTCTCATACCACACCCCAGCAGTATGCACCCAGAAGAGAACGGGAGACACCAGGTCATCCAGGACTAACCTCAGAGGCTATTACCTCAGGGAGTCTGCAGCTCCAGGAAGAGCCACCATGAGGAGTCTGGGACAGCGTTGGGACTCTATGGCCCAGGGCTGCAGGGGAGTAATGGAGATTCAGCCCCTGGGGGAGCACCATCAACACAAGAGACTGAGTTGAACCCCACCCCTGAGAGGCTCACAGGCTCCTCCAAAGAAGAAGGATTGTTAAGGGGTACAAGGGTCTCTGCAAGCCTGCCCACCACAGAGCAGACAGTCAGGGACACATTTCCTGTCCTCAACCCAAAGTATGGAAACAGAGTCTCAGGAGAGGAAGCTAGAGGGAAAGAGAAAATGTGGGAGCCATCAGTCATGTTGTAGAAGGAGACATCCCCTCCCTTGAGGTCCAGGAAAACCCCTACCCTGTGAGGAATTTTTCCAAAGAATTTGTGAGGCTTAGTAGTGAAGGCACAGAGATTATCACCATTCTTCCCCACAGTCCAGAACCCCTTTTGGGGGGACTCCTGGTACCAGCCCCTCCTCTGCACACCTCTCCTACAGACCCCCAGAGCCCACTCACTTCTATCTCCATTCTTGATCTCCACCTCCCAGTAACAGCGCCCTGATGTGATGCCGTCATGACCCAAGATGCTACAGGTATCTCCTGTGCTGTCAGATGTCTCCTTCCAGGTCACACTAGTCTTTTCCTCAGAGACAGCAAGGTCGGGATGGGCAGACTCTGGATTCAGAGTGACAGGCACTGCAGAGAGAGTTTCCAATCATGCAAGGCCTTTCCCTGCCCCATAACAAAGCACACGACCACCACCATCACCCAAGACACCTAGCTGCATGCAGGGAGGGCTAAGCCTTCGGAGAGAAGAGTCTTGTGACTCAAGCCCATAGCCCTCCAAACAAGAGAAGGAACTATAAGAATGATTCGGGAGTTAGATATGTCACAGGGCACTTGAGGATCAGACTGGACTCCAAGACTGAAGGATATCTCTTTAGCATCCAATATCAGTCACACCCATCAATCCCAGCTAGGTGACGTTCACTGCCCCATCCGAGCCCACCACCATTGACGGGGCCAGCATCTGTATCATCACAGCAAGCTGAAGGAGATGTCAGCAGCCATGGGGCAGCAGTAGAAGCACCCAGAAAGAACTCAAAGTAACTCACAGGCCTGGAACTTCTCCTTCCGCCAATCTACAAGAAAACCACATTTGACAAATGTGAACAACAAATCAGAGATTTGATGAGACTGTACAGACCAGTGTTAGTATCTATCTTCTGAAATACACTGATGCAAGAGTTATAGGGAAAAATCTTTGGGAAACATTCACCTGACGAATTTATCTTACACACACACACACACACACACACACACACACACACACACAGCCATCCTGCTACAATCTTCCCAGGAAAGCCAAGCCATAAAGCTTAACACCACTGAGAGACTGGACACTGACCCAAAAAGAAGGTTCTCTACACAGATTTCACTATCAAATTATGCTTCCTCAATCCCTAGCCACACGTCCATCCTGAAAGCTAGGTTTTCTTGAGAAAGAACTGAGGAGATCAAAATTTCTGAGGCATCCATTTACTAATAAAGGACTGACTGAGCTGAACTTATAGGTTGACTCGAAGCCATGGTAGAGACAATACAACTTGGCAGAGCTGCACTTGGAGGATGACTATCAGCCATGGGTGAGGAGAACTCAGGATATGGCTTCAGAGAAATCTTGCCCAGTCAAGAGGTAATGGAGAGCTTTCAAGGAAAGGAGAGAGAGAAGTTCAGAGCAGGAAAGACATACATCCAGTGAGAGGACAGAAAGTAATGAATTTGCTTCCCCGTTTCATGGGGCATCGGGAGGAAAAATATCCCTATATGTAAGGGGAAACCCAAAAATATTGGGTCTAGTCATCTGCTTCTCCCTATATCACCCAGAGAGATCCAAAACACCAGGAGACACCTCACGTGGTTGGCGCACAAATATGGCTGTGTCCTGTGCTCCAGAAAGTGTGAATATGTTTTGGCAGAGAGAACTTTACAGATGTGATTAAGATTAAGGAACTGGAGATAGGGTTGGGGGGGAAGAGCAATGCCTCCAAACACCTAGTTGGAACCCCAAACCCAATTATCCTAAGGACCATATCAAGCTATCCTCTACAGGGTGAGGTCCTGAAATGATCAAGAGGAGAGCACAGGGACTCCCTCCCCCAGTGACACAAGGCATAAGCTCCTCTGACCTTCATACTCCCTTTTCAGAAGAAGAAAGGAAGCTAACTGATCAAAGCAAAACGTATATATGTCATAAGACCCTGAGAAGTCTGCATTGAGAAAGCTGTTACCTCCAATAGGGCAGAGACTGCAGAACAAAATTAGGGCACTTATAAAAATAAAAACAGGACATTTTCTTGAACATTTGGTGAAAACAGGTGACCATTATTCTCACTCATACAGGTTTATTCAGATAAAGTGGTATGTCCTGCTCTGTTGATTTGCTTATACAAACAGATCACACGAAGTGGGCTGACCCATGTCACCTTTTGAGAAAAGGGAACTTTACTTGTTCATCATCAGGACATTAGTTGACAGCCAGCTCTACATTTCTATGACAATTGACACAGATTAGCAAAGAAGAAGAGACATCAGGAGGAGGAAAAGAAGGAAGAGGAGAAAGGGAGTTGGCATTCTATTCTGAGACTCTATGATGCATTCAGAGCTATGCTATGCACTTCAGTGGTTCAAGTGCAGTCTTCACTTTATTTCCACAGCAAGTCTTTCATTATAAATTATTCTTCCAATTTCATGAATAAGATGAGATCAGACATTTGTTCACCTCATACTATGAGCTCATCAATGTGAAAATATGGATTCTACTACTGTAAGGGTGTCTATCCTTATAAAAAAGAAGGTATACAAGGTATACTTTAAAACACATGCATTTCAGGACGCCTGGGCGGCTCAGTCAGTTAAGCATCCGCCTTTGGCTCAGGTCATGATCCCAGGGTCCTGGGATCTAGTCCTGCATCCGGCTCCCTGCCCAGCGGGGAGACTGCTTCTCCCTCTGCCACTCCCCCTGCTTGTGCTCCGTCCCTCTCTCTGACAAATAATAAAATCTTACAAAATATATAAATAAGTAAAAAATAAATAAAACACATGAATTTCAATCCAGCAGAGAAGGAAGTGATGCTAGAAGAAGACTATTTAATCCTCATTTTTAACAAATAAATCCCAAGAATCAGCACGGCTCTCTAAGGAGTTTTCTTCACACATCTGGTCCCCTAGACTCTTGCACCCCTGGCTCCCCTTCTCTGCTCTCACAGTCTATATCCCTGATCATAAATAGAAACAGCCAGGACAGGAAAGCACACATTACACAGGTTCAGAGGGCCCAAATTCTTAACCAACCCCAATGCTAACGGGTGCTCTGGATAACTTATCATTGCATTAGGAACCTCTGGTTCACACTCCTGCCCCAACTACTAATGGAAGGTTGAGATAGTCTCCTTATTAGAAGCAAACCCACTTAGAAAATTACTTCAAAACAGCTTAAAATAGATGTAAGTCTTTTCAGAAATCTCTCAAACTGTTAAGGAGTTTATTGCTTTTCATGCACCCAAATACCTTGCACATCCTCTGTGTACTTCCCACTCGAACCACCACGGCTGTGATTTGTGGTCTCTCTTCCACCACTCTGAGCCACCCAAAGTCTCTCCAAGAGAAATCACAAGCTCTCTACCCTCCTTCTCATCTCTTCCTCTCTTCCCCAACCAGCTTTTCCTTCCCTGATTTGCTCCCAACTTTTCTCTGGTAAACAATTTTCACTCCTCTGGGTTTTTCCTGTTGAAATCCTCACACATTGCCCCTAATAAACCCAACCATTATTGAGCCCATCAGGTAAATCCTGAATTCTCCTAAAAGGAGACATTATGGTTGTGAACAATTATAAGTTACTGTCCTTTAAAAAAAATTTAATTTCTTAACTCTGTAACACAAACATATACATAGGATTTTGTATATAATTGCAGGTAGCTCACAAACACACTACCAGGACTCCATAAACATCCTGGAGGCTCTGGATTTCAGATTCAGAACAGTTGACCTAAAGAAAGTACTTCACAGCAACCACAGAGGTTTAGAGGAAAAAACTCAACTTGGACAAGGAGTCAGAACATGAGGAAGCAAAATGAAGACCAACGTTCCAGAGAAACAGCAAAAAAAACAAGAAAACCAAAATTAGATCCCAAAAAAGGTAGGAATTTCAGGGTAAAATGTATTCAGAAGCAAGGATCCCCTTAGAAAGACCTGAGTCCTAAGCAGGCGAGCATGATTTCTGAAATCTTCTAGAGACAGCAAATTCTGATCTACACAGTCAATGCCATGGTCCAACTGTCCTTACAAATGACCACTCTGTTGTCACTGCACCAACAAAACTATCAATTGAACAAGGGGTGTTCAGAGGGTGTTGCCAACTCTAACAGCAACCTACAGTAGAGGATGGGTCAGAATAGAGGCAGATCTGTGTTCCCAAGGACAATCTCTGCAGTCTTCAGAAGGAGACAACAAACGTGACAAGGAGTACAGGGACACCAACCCCATCCTGGTGTGGGGTCCACTGACAGAGAAGGGGGCAGAGCTGAGGCTGGGGAGGTAAGACCACAGGAAACAGAGTCACCTACCTCCATACAGTTGCGCCTTCTTCAAGGCTGAAAGGGAACACACTCTGGTGAGACATGAGCCAGAACGAGTCAGCTTAGCATTGATCTACCAGCCCTTGCCTCCCCTCTGTGCTGCAGGTGACACTACCAAGAGAGTAAGGAGAGAGGCTGGAGAGGAGATCCCTCCTGCCATGTGCAGACAGCAGGGTGCTGTGGGAAATTCCCTGGACCACAGGTCAGAGAGCCCGCATTGCCGCCTGAGTTCTGCCCCTGCCCGCTGATGCTGTGTGACCCTTGCCAAGTTAGTGTCCTGAGCCTTACAACCCTCAAAAAAAAAAAAAAAAACCCCAAAATTTTTATTCTATCTGCTCTCAATTTTGCTTTAATAAGTCAAAAATTATACAATGGGTGAAAATATTTTAGGAAATTAAATATACATTATTCCATAAATGTAGGAAATCATTATTACATCCAATGTTTTCCAGCAAAGAGATATTTGGAAAATAACACAAAAGGGGAGATGAATTTAGGATGGGATGTTAGCTGAACTCTAGGGTAAAAGTGGCCAAACTTTCTCAGAAAACACATCACTAATCTGGACCACTGACAGCTCACCCCACCACATTCCCACCCACGGTCTGCCCAGTCCTCTACCCAACACTTTATGATCAGCACCTCCAGAAACTAGAGAGAAAAGATTCTGCCTGGTTGGTGTTATGTGGAAGGATCATGCTCCTAAACGTAATGACCCCATTTATTTATATAGCTTCTTTAACAAAATCTCAGAGCATCCAGGTTGACTGAGAACTAGTTGCATTGAAGGCTAAAAAGCTAGAAATGGGGCGGGCAGGTCAGCATTAGAATAAACCCAAGATGCATGATATACTCCAGGGACCCACATAATCCCCAGGTTCCCAAGCACTGGGTGGAAAACAACTGCCCATATGGGGAAAGTCCATGGAGCAGTGTTGAGCCTCCCACCAGCTTCCACTTCTGCCCCAGGGAAGGGTCCACATGTCTCTGCCTGAAACAAGGAGAGGGGACACCTTGGCTTAGTGGGGGCAAGAGACCCAAGGACATCTGGGCAGTCACTCACCAGCCAGGTAAACCGATTTCCTCCAGTCTGAAAGGCAACACAGGAAACAGGTGAGCTGAGAACAGAATGTCTCCTACAAAGGAGACACAGAAACTTCTGGGAAAAGGACACAACTTACCAAGATCTGCTTGGAGTTCATCTGAAAGAAAGTGAAAAATAAGCATGAATTCCCATCACTAAGAACAGCAAAGACTGCACCTGGAAAACCCACAAGAGGACCTCTCCATTTCCTAGAAGATCTACCTCCAGACCCCTGGAGCCTCCACGGCCCCCGCTGCCCTCTCTGGTCCTCCTCAGCCACCTGCTCCAGGCCAAGGGCCCTGCTGTCCGCTTCTCCTCCACACCAGCTACCACACTGGCCTACCATGGCGCCTGTCCTGCATTTACCTCTGGCCTTCAGTGCCTCCTCCTTTGTCAGCCGGTCCTCCTCTTTGTCCCTCTGCAGTTTCTCCCACTCCTGTCTCTCCCGGTGCTTTGCAGTATGCTCTCTCTTGATGTAAAAGGCAGCCCCCAGGAGTAGGAGCATCAGCACAGTCAGGATCACCATGAAAGCCGGCTTCCAAGGAGAACTCCGGGGGAAGAAGGGTTCTGTGCCAGCCAGACACCCCATCAGGGTCACAGCCCAGGACAGCCCAACCCAGCACACCCGGGGACCCCCAACAAGACCATCCCGCCCTTCTGGGAGTGGGAAGTAGTACTGACCTGGGATGAAAATGGCCACCCCCTTCTCCTGGCCCAGGATGGGGTTGAGGACTAAGCAGGTCACATTCCCTGAAGAGCTGTCCCTCACCACCAGAGTGGCCTCCATGGTGAACAGCCCTTCAGCATCTTGGGCTTGGGTCTCAGAAAATGTCAGGAACTTTCCTCCACTGACAGCTCTCCACTGCACCTAGGGCTTTGGGAACCACCCCGAGGCCATGCACACAACTCGGACCCCATCCTCCTCTGGTCCCATGATGCGCACTTGAGGGGCAGAGCCCACACCTGCAAAAGAGAAGCTGGAGAGCACAGGGAGGCTACCCAGACCCCAAGGTTGCCAGCAGAGTCTTCCTGTGCACAACTCCAGGGACAGCATTACATTCTGGGGGTTCCCTGGGGGAGTGGTCCCTGCAAGGATTAACGTAAAGGGTCCTGCCAAGGAGAACAGAAGGAAAGCTCAGGGGAACCTGCAGCAGGCACAGAGGGTGGGACTCTTCTCCCCAACCATGAGGGTGGAGATCCATCACCCAGAGTGAAGGAAGGAGGAATTTGGTCCCAGGTTCCATCTCTCTCTGCTCTTCTCACCTCACACACTCTCCTGGGCATCTGCTTACACACCCACTACCACTTGGTACATGACTTGCATCCTTGATAACCCTACCAACCTCCTGAGCTCCCTCCCTAAGATCCACATCCCTGGGGTTAGCTCTGCCAGGATTGCTCATAGATGCCTCAAACTCAAATCCTAAACTGATTGATATTTGCCCCATCTGTGATAGGCTGATGATGAAATTATTCCCAGTCCTTCAGCCTTCTTTACATCCTCCTGCTCATCCTCACCACATATTTTTACTGCCTTCACACCTTGCCTCTGGGCTCCATCGTGTGACTTGACTCAGCCACTGCAAGTTCAGGGAATGTGACTCTAGCAGAGGTTGGAAACTGCTTGTGCCATTGCTTCGCCCTCTGCCACAGGGACATGCTCAGGCTAGCATAGCCTTTCCAGCTGCGGCTGTCCTAGACCAGCCAACAGCCGGATGAAAAACAGCTCTGTGAGCAAACCCAGCCAAGGTTCACTGTCAGAGCAAAATATATTAAAAGTAAGAGGCTGGGGCGCCTGGGTGGTTCAGTCAGTTAAGCATCTGCCTTCCGGTCAGGTCATGATCCCAGGATCCTGGGATCAGTCCCACATCAGGCTCCCTGCTGGGCCGGGAGTCTGCTTCTCCTTCTCCCTCTGCCCCTCCCCCACCCCTGCTTGTGATCTCTCTCTCTCTGTCTCTCTCTCTCTCTCTGTCAAATAAATAAATAAATAAATAAATAAATAAATAAATAAATAAATAAATAAATAAAAATAAGAGGCTTATTGTCCCTGTTGAAAATAAGAAAGCCCCTTCCCATCCTTTTCTTAGAGCATTTACTTGAGGAAACTTGTGATTGTGGGTGTTTCCTCCCCTCTTTGAAATGTATATAAGCCCTTTGGGGTGAGGGGTGGGAAACAGATAGGGCTTTTGTCGGCTTTGAGATCCAGGAATGTCTTTCTCAAGGACCTGGGAACCCTCTCTTTGAAGTGTTAACACCAAGGAAGACAGCTCCCCTCTCTCCCCCTTCCTGTGCCAGGGTAGGAGCCTAACCTCAGTGGGCACCAGGATCCACCCATGTGTAAAACCACCTCCTGTCATAAAGACGGGAGAATTTGTAAAAAGAAACTGCTTTAACTTTGGTTTGCCTGGGAAACTCTTCATCTCTCCTTCTATTCTGAATGATCCCCTTGCTGGATAGAGTATTCTTGGCTCCAAATTTTTGTCCTTTCAGCACTTTGAATATATCACACTACTCCATTCTAGCCTGCAGAGTTTCTGTTGAAAAGTCCACTAATATGTGGAATGTTGAGTCACTATTGAAATGAACATAACTCTATATGTTAACTACCCTGGAAATATTTTTTTTTAATTTTTAAGGTAGGAAAATTTGGTTTTCCTCGGAATAAAGCCAATTAGCTAACATAGATGGTCACCCCAATTTCCAAGTAAATATAGGGTGCACCGTCTAGGACAAAAAGTGCTGGCAAGTCCACCTACTTTACGGCTCATAACTGCTGATCCTGAGAACATGTATGGAATGAGTTGTGTCCGCATGGCTATGGAAAAGATGAGAGTTCTTCTGTCTTTGCATTTCTTGATAGAATCTCTGCGATGCACATCACATTCTAGTTAATGCAAATTTAATAATAAAAAGGATTTCTCTTCCTACTATCTTTGAGAAGAGAATTTCTGGGTTGGAAGATTATGTTTTTAATTATATTTCCCCTACATGACCGAAGATGTATGAGTAAGCCCTGTTAAGATTCGCCGAATACACCCCAGATGAGCTGAACTCCCTTTAAGCCCAAATTAAATACACGCTTGTTGCTAATAGGCTACTGAGATTTCTATGTCTGTGTTACACAACATTATGACAGCAATCGGCAACTTACACATAATATCAATATTTCTACTACTAAACAACCAATTGCCAAAAAAGAAAAACTGTGAGTCTCTGCAGTCCCTTCTCTCCATTCCTCCAAACTCTCCTTGTCCCCACATCTCCTCACGCAGCTGGGTCTACTTTCCAAAACTCTCTGATGCTGGAGAGCTCCTTTCCCACCCCACTGCCACTGCACGAATTCAGGTGGCCATCCTCTCTACCCCATAACTACATCCGGGCCTCCAGTCTTGCTCACCTTCCATACACCCTCCACAAAGCTGCCAAAGGAAACCTGCCCACACATACCTCCCTCCACCGCTCTGTTTAAAATTCCCTCGGCTCTGCACCCAAACTGCACAACACAGCACATGAAGCCTTTAATGGTCTGGCATCACCACCACCCCCCAAACAAGACTCCTGTCGACTTCCTCCCCAGTCCCACCACCTGCACCCGTCAGGAAGGACATGCTCCAGCTCCAGGACCATTTGGTTAACTGCTCATACCACAATCACCATGCTATCTATGCCCCACCATAGATCCATCAACCAGAAGGCTATTTCAGAACACTGGTTCACTGAAATGCCCACTAAAGTGTGTGCTCCTCATGGACTTTTCCTGATCAATCTCTTCTCTGTGCACCTGGACCAGGAACACCTCTTTATTCCGGATAGTCACCTCTCACCACCCTCCTATTGACCTCCATCACCAACCATGTGGCCTCCCTCTCTGCCCAGACTCACCTGCCACACTCCTACCTCAGAGGTCTCACATGGGTGTTCCTCTGCTTGAAACTCTCACCGCCAAAATATTTATTTAGCTAAATCACTACTTACCACCTATATTATCGTCTATAACCTATCTATTTGTTTATTTATTGTCTCGAGAATATAAACTCTGCAGGGCAGGGATTTTTATTTGTTACACTGATGTATCCAGGTGCAGAGAACAGTAGCTCGCACGTACTAGGGGTTCCATATATCTGTACTGAATAAATGAATGAGTGAAAGACCCTCCTTTCCTTCATCTATAAATTGAGGGCATATTTACTTAGACCCTGAGGTTGCTCCCAATTCCAATACTGCAAGTGTCTAAATATAGATCAGCAACCCACCTGCCACCTTCAGTTCCAAACTAGCCTCTTCATAGAAGCTTCCCTTTCTGAAAAAACAGGTATACAGCCTGTTGTCGAAAACCTGGACATTGTGGATGCGCACAGCAGCCTCCCCTTGGGTGAGGAAGTCCTTCACCAGTGAGGTCCGCCCTGTGTACTGGGCCAGCTGCTCCTCTTTCTGCTCCTGCTGGTTTTGATAGATGAACACTGCTTCTGAGAACTTGGAGCGGAACCACCGCAGCTCCATGTTCTCCACACTCATGGCTGGGAACACACGACATGGCAACATGATGTTCTCACCCAGCACTGCCACAATGGGGTCCGAGGAGCCAATCACCACGAACTCCTCTGTGGACACAGACATAGAAGTGAGAAAGCTGGAGAGGTGCAGGACAGGGGCAGGGAACACACTGTCAGGTGGGAGGCCCTGACCTGAGGGGCTCAGCTCTGACCACTCTGAATCAGGGCAAGATCCTCAACCACAACTTTGAGACCCAGAAATGATGTCAAAGAGACTCCCTCAGCAGCCTGTGCTCCTGGCTCCAGGTCTTCCATGGAGGACTCTCTAACTCAGTGGTTCTAACCTTCCACGGGCATCACAATCACCAGGAAGGCTTGAGAAACACAGACTGCTGGGCTCCACCCCCAGAGCTCCTGGTTCAGTAGGTCTGGGGTGGGTCCAAGAATGTGCATTTCTAAGGAGGTAGCAGGGATGCTGATACTGATGTTCAGGGACCACACTCTGAGATCCACAGCTCTAACCTGCCTCCTCTTAGGGCAGGACTGAAAACTGACCAAACAGCACACCTGTGGCCTAGGTGGGACCTCTCTGCTCATTGGTCCACACCCAGGAACTTCCCAACACCTGCTCCTAATTTTATTATTTCTGCCCATGTCTTTGTCCTCTGCTGAATTACGTGCACACTAAAAACTAGAGCCCACAGCTACTTCCATTAAAATATGTCCTCGCTCCACTGCTCACAGGACCCAAATCACTACTTGTTACAATGGAAGGTTTATTCCACTGCCCCCAACCCCTCACAGACCTTGGTCTTCTGAGACCTGGTAGACATGTCACAGCAGGACACTTCTGCAGGACAAACCCCACCAGACATCCAAACACCGACTTCTCACCTCCTGTGCTACTCAACTTTGGCTAAGTCACTATCTGTCTAAACTGCGGAATGACAGTGACTAGGCTCCCTGTGACTATGCTCTCTCCAATCAATGTCTGTGACCCTTTACACCTGTAAGCAAAACCATGTCCCTCCTCTATCAAAGCCCTTCAATGCTTCTCCAGTTGCCCAAGTGACCCCAAGCCCCTTAGGGATGACCTTCCATGCTCTCTGATCCCCAACTGCAGCTTCTCTCCCTCTCGCTCACTCTGCTCCGGCAAACACTTGCCTCCTCTGCTCCTTGAACACCCAAGCACACTGCTGGCTTGGCCCTGGCTGTTCACTGCTGTGGAGACGCCCTCTCCATGGGATCCAGACAGGCTCCTTCCACATTCTCCATGTCTTCCTTCCCATCTCCCTGCCTACACTGACCACCTTATGGAGCACTGCTGCCTGCCCACAGCCCTCCTGCAGCCCTGACTGCCCCGCCTGCTCTACTTTCTTGTCCCATTCTCTCCACTCCTCTAACAAACAGAGATTATATGGGGTTGTTGAATTTAGTACTCGCTGTCCCTGCCAGAATGTAAGCTCTGTGAAGATAGAGGCTGTCGGGTTTCTACATAGAGTACCACCTAACACATACTCAATACCCTATAAACATTTGTGGAATATAAAAACCAATAAAGCCAGGAAACAAAAAATAAGGGGAAACTTATTTTTACTCTTCTCATAGTGAAATTCACATTTTTTACTTTATAAGACATAAAGTCCTCATTAGACAACTGTCATGGTCCCCTGTCCTTATTTTACAGTTCTGGGATTCTTCTTAAATGTTTAATTTCAACTAGCAGTTGGAGGACCACAAAGATCTTTCTAGAACCAGGGTCTCCAGCAATAGCCATCCGTCCTGAAGGAGACACCAGCAGAGCTCCCCGGGGGCTCTCACCCTCCCCAAGGACACACAGGAAGGGGGAGGGGACACACTCACCTGCAGACCCCCCAGTGGGCAGCTGGAAGAGGAGAAGCAGGAAAGGGAGATGGGAGAGCAAAGAGCCCCTGCAGCAATCCTCCATTTCCTCACAGCTGGGGAGACACAGGGCAGGAGGCAGGTGAACACCTCCAGAGAGGAGGCAGGGCCAGCCCACGGTTCTGGGCCTCAGAGCAGACAGCAGGGCTCAGGGCTGGCAACGGTCCCCAGCAGGAGAGCACAGCCTTTCCTACTGCTCATCATGCTGGTGGGGTGGGGGCCCCCACAACCTTAACACCAAGAAATCCCTCCCAGCCCTTTGGAAACTTTCCCAGCCTGCTCTGCCCACAGGACCAGACCTTCCTGCCTCAGCACAGGGGCCTCCTCCATGTCTGCATGAGTCACAGGCCACCACAGGGACACAGGGCCCAGACTCAGGGCCCTCCCCATGAAGGACACACCAGCTCCTGCGTGCTGTTCCTCTGCTGCCCCCTAATTATGACCAGGGAATGACTGAGAAGCATGAGGGTCAGGCTGTGTCCTCCTCAAGGACACTGTGGCTCCCACCACACACACCCTGTCCTCCGGTCCTTTACTGGGTGAGTTCACCTGAATTTCAGGTCCCTCCCTTCCCCAGCTCTTTCCTGCTCAGGACCAAGGACCTGGCCTTGCTCATAGCTGAGGCCCAGACAATTCCCCATGAAAGGTTAATCCTCATCTTCTCTCTCCTTGAGGAGTTTCTGCCTCAGGATAGAGGATCCCAGCAGAGCAGGAACAGCAGAGGTTAAAATGAGCTCTGGTGAGAAAGAAGGACTTCAAACCACTTACTGCCGAGGGAGGGGCGGGCAACCGATGGTCCTGGGAAGGACAGATTCTGGGGCTGACTGCTGACGTGTCCTCCAGATTCGGCTCCTTCCTGTGGGATCACCTGAGGCAAGTTTCTTGAGCTGCTCTGCCTCAGTTCCTCAATGCAGATGGTAACAGGCTCCCAAGGTATAAGGAGAATCCTATGAATTTATGTATGGAGAGTCAGTACACGTCACTAGAACAGTGCCTGGTCCTAGGAATGCTACAGAGCTGTCATTAAATAAGTGAATGAAGTGCAGCCCTCACTGTAATTATCCTGGGTCTTCTCAGAGCCTCATTATTATCCAGCACCACCACCTCCAGCCCCACCACGATCTCAGCCTCCTCCTCCCAGCCAGCTGCTCCCAGCTTTCCTCCTCTTGTCCAACAAGTGTCTTCAGAACCCACTCACCTGCGTGAAAACCTGGGACTTCATAAGCATCTCTACCTCAACAGTGTGAAAACATCCAGAATCTCAGCCGACCCTAAATCTGCTCTCAGAAATTGCACCTGCAGTTCGCTGCTCGAGCCCCACACCCTGCTTCCAGATCCAACCCTGGTGCTACAGGCTTCTCTTGTCTGAGAGGCAGGTGGTTCCCAGGAGAGGAGAGAAGCAGAGCCTGAGAAAGGTTGCAGGGGCCTGTCCTGAAACAGGGAGCTGGGGCACTCGGCACTCCTTGTGCTGACTCCTTCCACCATTTGAAAGTGAAAGCTTACAACAAGAAATCGCAGCAGACTCTGCCCTGCCCTCTGGATGGTGCACCCTAGTTATCAGGAAGGAAACAGCATGATCAGAGCCACTGAAACACGGCAGGGACAGGAACACTGACCCACTCTGCAGGGGGACACACAGAGATGCAGACTCAGCAATCCTTTATTGAACAACTGCTACTCTCCAGGTTGGCTAGTTTCTAGACCAGAAGCAGGGAGTGTGTGTGGCACAGATACGACTAATACCTCGCTCTTTGCACGGGACTGTTCACTACCAAGAATAGTCTATATAGTTTCTGAATCCTAATGGCAAGAGTCTTTGAAAAGCCCTCAGTGTAGCTGCTTTGCTTTTCTTCATCAGGAGATGACCCAGGTGCTTCCCATAGCCTGGCAACAGAGGGGTTAAGACTGAGCATCAGGTTCTTCCAGGACCAGCTCCAGGACTCTGGCCCTGCCCAGCTGAATGGACGGCACCTTATGGCTTCTTGGTACTTTACTATCACACGTGGCCTGGGTACACCATTCAGCCCCTCCCTGCCAGGCCGCAGTGTGCACCAGGAAAGGCAGATTCTATGGTCTCTGAAGGAAAACCATGGAGCACTGGACCTACCTCTCCAGCCCCTCCCTTCCTGCAGCTCCCCATCTCAGGGGACACCTGGGTTCACCCAGTTATGTCTGCCTGAAACTGAAGGGTCATTCCTGACACTCCACTTTCCCACCCATCTACTTCCAATGTACCAAAAAGTTCAAGACTTTCCTTGAATCCATATCCATGGCCACCTTCTAGCTCCACACCAACCTCACTTCCCCCCTCACCCAGGCTTCGCCTGTGTCCCTGCTTCCCCATGAGTGTCCCCTGCCCACCTCCAGCCTCGCCTCCTCAAGTTCATTTTCTCTCCAAAGTCATGATCCTCTCAAGTCAGCTTATGTCAGCTCTGCTTCATCTCTTCCAGGGATCCCCCTGCTATACCTCTTGTCTGTGGCTCCCAGGCCCCCGCTTCCTCTCAACCTCATTCCACTGCTCCCTCACTGGCCTGGGTGGGCTCCTCCAGTTCATGGAGCTTTCCCAGCCTCCGGCCATCTCATAAAATACTGGATGTTCCTACTCTCTCTCTCATCCCCCAAATTCCTCACTGTTCCCATCTATCCTAAAGGGACCTTCCTCCGAGGGGCCTTCACCAACCTGCTCATCCCCATATGTGCCCCATACACATGCTTACTGGGGTTTTAGTGGCACCCTGTTCTCCTCCACAGCCCTGACACGTGATCTTCTGTGGAATGTCTGTGGCATCCACAAAGGGAGGCACTGTGTGCCCTGTTCACCTGTCCGGCACACAGTAAACACTCAGGAAACTTTGCTCGAGCTCATGTGCAGAGGACTCACTTCAGCAGCACATTGGCTACTCAGCCCTGTCCAAATTCGGGAAACACTTCAGTCCACCGAGAAACAGGAAGACCGTTAACTCTGACCTAAACAAGTCAGCCCCTGGGTGGATACAACACCTCCACCATCTTCCCCGATCTTTCTTTCTTCCTACCCAAACCCATATGCCTCTCTGAAACATCACTGGGCTAGAAACATCAGACTCAACCACCTTGTTTGCTCCCTCAAACCGGCCCAGTGCTCCGGTGTTCATTTGCTGAGTGACACGTGTTAAGACACTAGTTTGGGCTAAAGCCTCCCTGGTGCCACTTCTGTAGAGTTGTCATTATTGTCTTCATTCTACAGGTGAGGAAACCAGTCTCTCAGAGTTCCACAACCACACACCCAGCAGAGCCTCTCCCAGCCTTTGTTCACTCTTGATTGTCCTGAATGATCCACTAAATTTTTTTCATGGAGCAAGGACTGACTGACTCATTGGTGCCTGGGAGTGACTGCTTTCAGCCCAGATGTCTAGTCTAAGATATTAAAATTCTGGGTAGGGGTGCCTGGGTGGTTCAGTCGGTTAAGCTTCCAACTCCGCTCAGGTCAAGATCTCAGGGTCCTGGGATCAAGACCAGTGTTGGACTCCCCACTGGGCGCTGAGTCTGGTTGTCATTCTCCTTCCCTGTCTGCCCCTCCCCGACTGCCCCTCTCCCACTCCCCCACTCAAATAAATAAATAAATAAAATTTAAAAATAAAATAAAAAATAAAACTCTGGGCAAACCCAGGACATCTGGATATACCTGAACACATCCCATGCTGTCATCCACAAAGGTTTATTTCTGCTAAAATCCACTTAGACACGGGAATATTGGGAAAATCCATCTTAATTGAAAAATAATGAATGAACAAGGACCAATATTAGCCTCCAGGTCCACCCCCACTGCCACCACCTTCACCTGCCCAACGGGGAGACTCCTCAAAGCCTGAGAGACATTAGGGGAGTTTTGTGAAAAGTCAGAGGGAAGAAAACCAAATTTCAATGAGTACTTACTAAGTGCCAGGATCTGGGTTACACAACTTGTATTTTTGACACTTCATTCTCACACATCCAACAGAGATGAAGGAAGACATGAGTTCTACCACCAAGTAAACTTTCATCCAGGAACCTCTCAGAGGAGGGAGGGCTGGAGCTGCAAGGACACTGCCCCCCATACCCCTGCACACCCCAGTCCTCAAGCCCAGCCCAGCCCCCAGCTCCACACCGCTGAGGGTCGAAGAGGAGCAGGAAGGACCTTGGACTCAGAAATGGCCCAGAGTGATGTGGCCAGGAAGCTTATCTCCCCTGAATGCCGGCCCATGTGGGGAGGGGAGGGGAAGGAAAGACAAAGCATAAGGAAGATTTTCCTGAAGGACACTGGAAGGACACCTGGAGACATTGCAGGAAGGACACCAAACAGCAAACCTCACTGCCCTCCCCCAGCTCATCAGGCTCCCGGTCCAGCTGTTTATCGACAAACACTATTCACTGGCCACAAATGATTTTTCTTGCTTAAGGTGTAAATTATCCTGATGCTAACCAGGTTAATATTATACTTTCTACTTTAATAGCCATGTATTACCTCTTATCTTGAGTTGCTTCAAGTGCTTTTGAAACAGTTTCAGATAAATACCTAAGCCATAAAATAATGGCTAATGTAAAAAGAATTATAATTTTAGGGATGCCTGGGTGGCTCAGTCAGTTAAGCATCCTACTCCTGATTTTGGCTCAGGTTGTGATCTCGGGGTCCTGGGGCGCTCCATGCTTAGTGTGGAGTCTGCTTGAGATTCTCTCTCTTCCTCTCCTTCTACCCCTCCCCCGGCGCGCGCGCGCGCACACACACACACACACACTCTCGAATAAATAAATAAATCTTTAAAAAAAAAGAATTGTAATTTTAAAATGTGACATTTGGTGGAAAGGATTAAACCCCATTTTTAGAAAACTGCAATCTGGTGAGCTTTAATTTATTTTGACACTGTTAAGATGAAGGATCACTGGGTTATCTTCTACTGCAGGGAAGTTTTAAGAGGCATTTTCCGCTTGTTTGGTATCTGGAAAAAAGTGAAAAATAACAGGAAACACACAAACACACACATACATGCACATGACACACACACAAGGTGATAGTTTCTGTGTGGACTTTAAAATTTTTCCTTCCAGGGGCGCCCTGGGTGGCTCAGTCATTAAGCATCTGCCTTCAGCTCAGGTCATGATCCCAGGGTCCTGGGGTCGAGCCCCGCATCGGGCTCCCTGCTCCCCGGGGAAGCCTGCTTCTCCCTCTCCCACTCTCCCTGCTTGTGTTCCCTCTCTCGCCATCTCTCTCTGTCAAATAAATAAATAAAAATCTTTAAAAAAATTTTTTTTCCTTCCAAGTTAAAAATAGAGCTACCCTATGACCCAGCAATTGCACTACTAAGTATTTGTCTAAAAGACACAAACATAGTGATTCAAACGGGCACATGCTCCCCGGTGTTTATAGCAGCAATGTCCACAACAACCAAAATATGGAAAGAGCCCAGATGTCCATCAATAGATGAATGGATAAAGAAGATGTGATACAATGGAATATCACTCAGCCATCAAAAAGAATGAAATCTTGCCGTTTGCAATGCCGTGGATGGAACTAGAGGGTATTATGCTAAGTGAAATAAGTCGGTCAGAGAAGGACAAATGTCATATGACTTCACTCATGTGGAATTTAAGAAACAAAATAGATGAACATAGGTAGGGGAAGGGAAGGAAAAATAATATAAAAACTGAGAGGGAGACAAACCGTAAGAGACTCTTAACTCTAGGAAACAAACTGAGGGTTGCTGGAGGGGAGGTGGGTAACTGGGTGATAAGCATTAAGGAGGGCAATGTGATCTAATGAGCCCTGGGTGTTATATATGATTGATGAATCACTAAATTCTACTCCTGAGCCTGATAATACACTAATTAAATTGATTTTAAATAAAATTTTTCCTTCCTCCTCTAACCAGCATGACCCTGGTTCGTGGGCTGAGCTCTGCCCTGACAGACTGCCGAGGACAAGACCAAGGGCTCAGTGGGAATGATCACTATCCTCTGAGCCTGCACATCTGCGTCTCTGGTGAGCACAGTCCCTCCCAGGGGAGACTGTCATCCCATAACTGAAATATCCAACCAAAGGTGCCTCAAAGAGTTCCTAAGACCTTACACACTCCCAGGAATGGACCTGGCCAGGCCCACCCAGAGGTTGGCTGCAAAGCCCACCTGGCCACAGGCACCTGCCCCAGCACCCTCTGAGTGGGCAAGCCACTCTGCTTCCAAAGTCTGAGATTCCAGGGACATGAAGGGGCATCACTCCCACCCAAGCTGTCTGAGCTCTATGGAAACAAAGGAGTGAGACCAGGGAGAAAGGCATTTTATAGAAATTTTAATAAATGTTATTACACTCATCAATTAGCAAAAGATAGATAAGAAATTGTTGCACCTGGGTGGCTCAATCGGTTAAGCGTCTGCCTTCGGCTCAGGTCATGATTCCAGGGTCTTGGGATTGAGCCCCGTGTTGGGCTCCCTGCTCAGTGGGGAGTCTGCTTCTCCCTCTCCCTCTGCTGCT